TGTGGACCCCTAAGAGTACCATGAGCTCTAAACCCTGTGCCTACTGTACCTCATGGACAAGCTGGCCCTGGGCTCGCCTTTTAGGTATCTGAGCTCACCCTTCCTTTCTCTTTTGGCAACTTTAAAACCCTAAGGTAGGCAAAGTGCTCACACAAAACCACCATCAGACTCAGACTGACCCCTTGCACCCCAGGGCAGATAAAATTTGGAGTGGGCCACCTCCCCTCCCAGCCCCTTGCCTTCTGCAACTCAGCCCTTGGGCCTCCACTCCAGGAAGCCCTCCCTGATTAATCCTGCCAGCATGCCCCTCCCTACCAGAACCCCCTCCAGTGAACCATCAGTAAGACCACCAGAAGCTTCTGGCAGGTTCTGACGAGGTGGAGGAGGCAAAATGCTTAGCAGAGCACCCAGCAAGGACCAGGCACTGGGTGTTCATGGCTTCCCTTCACAGCTCTGCACCTCTGCCCCTGCCCAGGTGAGGGCCTACCTGGTCGATAAATCGTCCATGCTTTTGACTTCTTGTCAAAGTCCAGAAGGTGCTTGTCCTTCATCTTGTACAAGTCTGGGTTGATATCTTTTGCTGTCCTCATGCCCAGGGCCTGAGCGATGATCAGGGCCCTCTGAGACCCATTATCTTCCAGAAACCTGTAGATCTCTTCCTCTGAGAGGCAGAAGGGTCAGGTGTTTAAGACAGACCCCCTGAATTTGAACCTGCCCCACCACTCACTAGTTGCGTGACCTTGGACAGTTACCCAGCCCTCTGGCCAGTTTCCTCATCTGTAAAATGTGCATAGTTATAACGGGGGCAGTGACGATCACTGGAGAGGCTGCTCTGAAGGATCGGGATGTGCATACAGTGCTCTGCACAGTGGGTGCCTGGCACAGGGTAGGTGCCCAATAAATATCAGCTATGGATCGGAGAAATAGTTGCTCAGCCATTTAGAGTCTTCCACTGTGAACAATGAGTCTTGGCTCTGAACATTTTGTGGGAGGCTCTTGGTGGATGGGACGTGGCCCCTGAACACTCGTAACCCTCAAGGAGGGTTTGGAATGGACCCCCCCGTCCCAGCAGCTGAAAGGGAGCCAAGGTGCTTACGCCGCTTGCTGAGCTGAGAGCCGGGGTTCTCTGCAATCGCAGCTGCGTCTGGCTGGGGACTCACAGCTAAAGAAAGGCAGATCGGTTAGAGGGGTGAGGGAATGGGAGACAACACCGGGCCTCTACCGCGCAAGGGTGGGCAGCTCCACAGGTGGGCCACACTGCCTGGGTGTTTCAAACTCAGATTCCAGAATTAAAAATACTTGGCTTCCAATCCCGCCCTGCCCCTTTCCAGCTGTGTGGCTTCCTTTTGATCAACTTCTCTGGGGCTCAACTTCCTTTTCTGCAAAAAAAATAAAAGAGGAAAAACAACATCTTTCTATTTCTTGGGGTTGTGTGAAAGGTCAGTGAACCCTTGGGCACAGGACCCAACACATGGTGAGTACCTGATAAATGTTAGCTCTTTTGTCTGTGAACTCAAACTAGAAAAGGGGATCTAGTGTGAAGTGAAGTATGTTCTATTGTTATCACTGTTGATTACTACCCCTGGTCACAATCAATGATCATTATTAATTTTTGTTGTTGTTATTGATGTTTTTCTGAGTACCAACAATGTGCCGGCACTGGGCTGAGCCCTATGCAGCGAATCCTCCCAGCAACTCCTACAAAGCAGCCCTATTGTCATCTCCATTGACCAGAAAAAGAAATCAAGGCACAGCGAGGGGACATCATGCGTCCCCATGTGTGGTAGAGCCTAGATTCAAACCCAGTTCCAAATCTGGGCTTGTCCATTGCCAGGATGGCTCCTGCTGGGTCACACCTGCCTCCTGGGAGGGCAGGTTACCTTGGCTGGGCTGGGCCAGACCTGCAGAAACCTCGCCTTCAGAACCACCCCCACCAAAGCACCACGTGGCAGGGGCTGCGAGGGAGATTTTCAACTCTTTCTTCATTCGGTAGAGGACTTGGTTGAGCTCCTTCTTGGGCACTTGGCATTCCGTCACCAGCCAACTGGTCTTCACAGGGGAACCTGCATCCCTCAGCACCTGCAGGATCTTCTGTTCAAGGTGGCCTGGGAGAAGGGGGCAGGGCAGAGAGAAGAACTGAGACCCCAGGATTCCCAGTCCAAGCTGGGGTTCAAGGCTCCCAGAGACAGGGAAAGCCCCCCCTTGAGAGCAGTGCCAGGCAGAGGAAGTGGGCAGACAATGGAGCAGACACCCACCAATAACAGCAGCAACAACCTCTGTTCAGAGGGGGAGGCACACGGGCTGGTCAGAAGTGACTTTCTGGACAGAGGAGGCCAGACGTACCCAGGGGTGGGTACGAGATGGCAGGTGGGAGAGAGGGTGGCAGGCTGGATCAGGAGGGAGGAGAGGGGCCCCGGGGAGCAAGCCATGTCCTGCCTGGGACACCCGCCTCTGGTGTTCTCTATCCCCTGTCACCACTCTCCCTGGGGTTCTCTTCCTCTCAGGCTCACTTACATCAATGGTGTTGTTATTGGGCCAAACCAAAGCCCAATGGACATTCAGAAACAAACCTTCCCCCTGAAACCCAGGCACAGAGTCCTGGAAATACCATTCCTGGATTTGTCCCCCAGCCCTTCACTTCCTTTCTTCTCTGTCCCCACCCACTCATTCCTGTCACCATCTCCTGGGTGACACCAATAGTCTCTCCACTGGTCCACCAATTCCAGTCCGGTTCCCCCCAGTCCTCCATCCACTCGGCAGCTAGATCTGGCTCTGCTGACCCCCACCTCGTCTACACCCATGCCCAGTTTCCCTCTAAGTGCCGACCTATCTGGGCTCCTTTCCACCCCACTAACCCCAGGGCCTTTGCACATACTGTTCCCTCTGTCAGGAACACTCTTCCCCCCTCTCCACCCATCCAACGTTTACGCAACCTCCAGGTCTCACTCAGATGCCGCCTCCTTTGGAAAGTCCTCCATGCCCCAGCATGGGCAGAATGCCGCTTGTATGTGTCCCCTTCAGAACGTCCCCAAGGATCCCCTGCTACACTTGCCTGGTTTGCTGTCGTACCTTTGGTGTCTAGCACAGTGCTGGGCATGGAGTAGGGGCTCAGGAAATGGCAGTTGCACAAATGAGTGACTTGGTGAGTGAATGAATGGTGAGTGATGCATTTGTACTCTACTGGGACAGATGTCTGCCCAGTTGACCCAGGACAGGGCACAGGCAGGTCCTCCTTGGCTGGTGGCATATGCACCTGTTTCACTGTTTGAGTTTAACGAGCCCCAAGCAGGTCTTCATGAAGTTAAGGAAGGAGCTCTCCAACTGGCCCCACTCCTCCTTGAGCAAACTCTCAAAAATCAAAACCATCACCTCACATAATTAAAAAAGAAATCAAAAGCAGCTGCTCTGCCAGGAGCTGAGGATGGGGCAGACACAGGGCGCAGGCAGCCTCTGGGAGCCAGCCGTGGAGAGAGCCACTGTGGGCGGTGGCCCAGCTGTCACCGGAAACGTCTGCCCCAAGATCCCCGAGGGAGGTGCAAGGCAGGGAAGACCTGGGTCCCCTTCCAGGGCAGTGGCCCAATCCTTCATCTTCAGGGCCTTTCTTTCCTGATCAGAGGATTCTCTAGGTGTGCCCAGTTCCTTGGTGGCAGTGCTTGTTGGGCAGGGGACAATAAGTCTGCTGACACTACAGCTGGTCACTGTGCCTTGGCCTGTGATCAGAATGTTTTCATCCCTGCTGGGTGCAGATGAGCAACTGGAAGACCTGGGGGCACCCACCCCTTCACTTCACTTGCCAAATTCTACCCCCAGCAGCTACGGGATCCCCATCCAACCAACTGTACACTTGGCTTCGCCTTGTCTTGCAGAGTTTTGTTATTGAGAAGGATGGCTCACAGTGAACCTCTTCCCCTCCCTCCTCTACACTGCTGATCCCCAAAGGAGAGGTGGGGTCAGGGATGTGGATGAAAAACAAGCCCAAGGAGCCAGGCTGGCCTCGGCTGCGGAGTGCTGGGCAACTGCATCTGAAAATGGGCAATTGTGAAATGGAGCAGGTGTAGGTGACAAGCTGGTAATAAAAGAAAAATCAACTGAGGAAGAAGACAAGGAAATCAGTTAAAGCTGGCTACTGAGTCTTCACTAGTGTCTGCATGTCTCCCCAAAAGAGACACAACAGGAACCCGAGCGACCAGCCAGGGCTCCTGGCTACACCCAGACGCCACCCCTCCCAGTTCTCCTTTCTATTCTCTCATGGCTGCTTTCCTGGGTTTGAGCCCCAGCTCTGCCAACTGCTAGCTGTGTCACTGCATTGTGCCTCAGTTTCCCCATCCGTGAAATGGGTATAATCGCAGCTACTACAGAGATTGCAGTGAGGATTCGATGAGCTAATGATCAAAAATGAAACAAAATAAAAATACCCAAAACTGCCCTCAGCCCACAGACCACAAGCACTTAGGGGAGCCCCTAGAGAACCACTGCTCAGTACACAGTTGGCCTTCATGGGGACTCTTCCAGGAGTCAACTGTGAATTGTGGAAAGAATGCAACGAGGGGGAAACAGGCACACACACATCTCATCAGAGCAACTTTGATAATGATCGTGAGACAGCATTCAACCCTAGCTGATGTTCGCCAGCTGTGATACCCTGAGAGAGTCATTTCACCTGAGGCCTCAGTTATCTCATCTATAAAATGGGAACACCATGGCCCTTGCCGCCGGCAAGCCATTGAGAAATGCACGCAAAGCGGGCTGCGAGGTGCCTAGGGCATAGTAAGCTTTCGAAGCAGGGTGGCTGTGCATCCTTCTACTTCTTGTTACTGCTGTTCTTTAGGATATTGCTGTTGTCATAGTTACTGTTATGTGGGCCAAGGAAAGAAGCCAGGAAGACAAGTAGGAATCTGCCCCAGGAACGACCACCGTTCCTTGGAGGAAGAAGTAAAGTACCGTACCTCCTCTGTCCGGGCCAGCAGGGGCCTCAGCCATGCTGACAGCAGCTACAAGAAGCCCGATGGACTTGGAGGGCAGCAGCAGGCTCCTGCGCTGGGGCCTTGAGATGGGGGCTGGCTCGGGGCTGGGTGTCCTTCTGTGGCCCAGCCTGGTGCTTCTGGCAGCTCCGCACTCACAAGGAAAGGAACAGCAGCTTCAATGAGGCAGGAGTCAGCTATTTATACCCCGGAAACAGATGCCTAACCAGCCTGACCCGATCAGCTTTCTGGAGAAAAAGAAAATGAAACTTCTGTGTGTAGTTTTCTAAAGAAACGAAATCGAAAACAGAGCTGACGGGCAGGATGCGGCTGGGGCCTCCAAGCTGGTGGTGGCAGGGAGGAGCTGGACCTGGAAAGACCACAGCATCCTCTCAAGAAGGCTCCAAGGCAGGGGCTTTCTCACCTTCCCTGTGTCCCCTGTTGCCTCCTGGATTCCAGCACAAAGGCCACTGGGTTTTCAACAGATTGTTCCTGTGTGTATCACAATGACGACTCTCTTGAATGAACACCTGCTATGTGCTTCCCAATCTCGTGTACTCCTCCAACTCATATACAGGGCAGGGGCTGGTACTGTCCTCTTTTCTCAGAGGGGAAACTGAGGCTCAGGTCGGTGAGGTCATTTGTCCAAGGCCACACAGAGAGTCTGTGGCAGAGCCAGTCCTGCCTCCTCCTCAGTCATGTTTCCTGCTTCAACTGTAACATCCAGAAGTCCTGGGTGAATCACCCTCAGCCCACAGCCCACACTGAGTTCCCAGCCTCACCACAGAACTTGCTTCGTAATTTCAGAGTCATAGATTAGAAAGCCGCCTGCCTGTGCCAACTTCGCAAAGATGCCCTGAGGTTAACTTCTGGGGGCCGCTGTGCTGCTAAGCTGTTAGGAACATGAGCCCGGAGACAGGCTGCTGGGTTCAAACCCTGCCCCACTATTTACTGGCTGTGTGACCTTAGGCAAGTTGTTTAATCTCTCTGTTCCTCAGTTTCCTCAACTGTAAAATGAGGTTAATAAAGGTACCTACCTCATGGGGCCATGGTGAGGACTAAAGATGTAATCCAGCTGAGCAATCTGGCCACAGCCCTCGGGTGCCTTCTACATTCATGAGCATGGTTGGGCACGCACACTCAGGCTTCTAGAAAAGGACCCTTTGCTTTCATAAATTCCCCAAGGGGCCAGTGACCTCCATGCAATACAGAGCCACTTTCTCTTCCAGATTATAGAAAGGGAAACTGAGGCCCGCCTACGTGAATGGCCTTGTGCGAGGCCACCCAGCTCACTGGCAGCCAAGGGGATCAAGAATTCATCCCTAGAAGTCTCAGGACTTGGGGTCCAAGGCTCACCTGCACGTCCCAGCTGCAGAGGGCTAGGAGGGTTTGCAGGCATCCACGGTCCCTTGCGGACCCCTTTGCTCCAGCATGTCTGCATAGGGAGAGGCTTAGGAGCAGTAAATAGAGACGGAAAGTGGGGGGGGGGGGCAAGGATTGTCTTGAAGCTGTCTTCGCAGAGCAAGCACCCGGGGCAGAGGTCCTCAGCCCTGGCTGCACATTATAAATTTCGATGGCCAGATCACACCCAGACCAATAAAATACATTCTCTAGGGGCGCGGCCTAGGGGTTGGGATTTTTAAGCTTCCAAGTGATTTCTATGCTTCCAGGTGGTGAACCAGTGAGTGAGGGACAAGTCAGTACAAACAGCAAACCGCAAGGACACTTCTTTTCCCTTTTTATGTAAAACCGAAGAAGCATGCATCTCCACATGAAATAACAGTACTCTTCAAATGCACCTAGCTGATGTTCGCCAGCTG